CAAGAGATATTTTAAACAAGTTTTTACAAGAGTTTAAATTTTGTTTAAGTATGGGTTAAAAGTTTCAAGTTTGTGAAGATTGTTTCACAAGAAGAGGAGATCATCTTTGGTTTGATCTTTCCACTTCACATCTCCATCTCTCTTGTTCTAGAGAAGTTTTCTCAACTCAATTATCTAGCTTGTTTACATTTACATTGTCACATTTATATTTGCTAGACTTTAATTGAGTTTGATTTTATTTCTCTTTGTTTACACACACAACCATTGAGCTTATTGTATTTGCATACATTGTATAATTAGGTTGTGGAATTGTGTGACTTAGAGAGTGAGCATACATTGAGTTCTTATCTATTATAGAGAACAAATTTGTTGTATTGGGAGCTTCATTATGAGATATACTTTGTAATATACTTGTACACCGAGAGGAGTGTGTGGTGAGAGATGGTGTTGTCCCAAGAGGAGTGAGGTAGGTGGTAATACCTAGAGGTAGGTTATAATTTCTAACACTTGAGGGAGACACGGGCTAGAGACCAACACTTGAGAGGGTGTAAAGTATGATTTCAAGAGTGTTGATTGTAAAGTTTTTGATGACTAGAAAATCGAGTATGAGGTATAAACGTTATTCGGGTGATCGTAGAAAACCCGGTTATGATAGTAGAGATCTCCTCGAGGTGAGGAACGGAGACGTAGGTCGTGGGGACCGAACTCCGTGAACATATCGTTTGTTTGTGATTGCATTGACGTACTTATTTTTATGTTCATATCTTATATCGTCTTTGTATATTGTTTGTTGCTTATATTGCCCACTATCTAGTTTAGATTGTTTACTCTTATGTTATTTGTATATCCTCGCATATATCTCATAGTATATCCCTTTGCTCATATTGCTTATTCTTGCTCATAACATATTGTATATCTATCTTGCAAGAATAATTTGTTGAATTAGTTTTAATTGGCATAAAATCAGATTAGATTAGCATAAGACCCTAATCACCCTCCCTCTAGGGTCTAACAAATGGTGTTTTCTATATATTATAAATTATACAAGGGATATTTGTAACTCCTATATTTCTAATGTATTGTTAGGTTGGAATTTAGCAGGATTTTTATAAAATTTACAATCTTGAGGGTTTTATCTTGCAATTTGTAAAAAGTTTAGAGTTTTATTACAAATTCCATAAATTTTTAGGGGTTGTTTGTGTTATTTTTAGGTTTTTATTGTGTTTCCATGTTTAAAATTTTTAATGTGTTTTTTACAAAATTTGAATTTTAGGAGTGTTTTTGTATTTTTTAAAACTTACAATATACTTTCTCCAATGTCAAAAACTTTTATTTTTAGCTAGCATATATTTTTCAAATTTCTCACTGAATTGAAATAAGTAAAATTTATAATTTTTAAGATGTTTTAATAAAATTTTAAATTTGTACTTCAAGTCAGGATGGGCCCTTATTTCTTATATATATATACCAGGATATCAAGAATGTGCACAAGCCCGGTTATATACATGTGATATTCTCCGTCCAATTCTCCTTTATTAAACCCCATGGTTGTCTGTTTAATCTAAGTAACTGTGCATGAAATGTTGTGCACTAACCACAGAGTTACCGTAAAATTTATAATTTTTAAGATGTTTTAATAAAATTTTAAATTTGTAGGGGTGTTTTTGCAATATAAAAACTTAGAGGGTATTTTTTACAAGGTCTAGGAATTAAAATTGTATTATCCTTTAGCTAAATAAATAAATGTAATTTAAAAATAATAATTTAAATTATTAAATGATAAATATTCGTTCATGCGAGAAAGTAAAGTAATCTATGGTCTATATACTTATATAGCCAATCGATTAAACATATTAAAATTATAATGACCACAGTTAAAATTATATGATGGGCTCACATTAAATATAATTATTAAAAATAGTACATTAAAGTCAAAAACCTTTTAACCAGCATATAGATTGTTTAAAATATTTTGCATGTATAAAATATAGTGCATAGGAATAGTGATGTGCATACTTAACTATAGCCTAATACATCTTAAGAATGATTTACTCTTTAATATCATCATTAATTGATGTATTTATACATTACACTAAAAACACAGTGAAAATTTAGAAAACTACAAAATAAATACCCTCAAAAGTTTTTAAAATTGTTAAAACAAACACCTTAAACTTTTATAATTAACAAATACACAAAACTATTAAAAATTATATTAAAATCCAAGAAACTACAAAAAATCATTGAAAAATTTCAAACTTTGGAGGGGTAATTTGTAATGTACTAAACTTTAAGATTGTTTTTTTTATAAATTTTAAATCTAATAGATTTTTAATTAGCTATGTTCTTTTAAAAAAAGTTATGGGTACTATTGACCATAGAAATTTTTTCCTAAACCTATACTTTTAAAGGGAGTATGATATTTTTTTTGTAATTTTTTTATTTTCGAGCGGTTGCTAATGATTTTGTATATTCATTTTAATGTCTGTAGGTTAAAAATTTTCATGGTGTTTTTTTTTATAAATTATGAATGTTAGGGGGTTTTTGTAATTTTTTAAACTTATAAGTCTTTTTTATAGATTGTAAATTGTTTATATACTATTTACAATTCCTATAGTTTCAATTTACTAATGAGTTTATAATTCTCAGAGTGTTTTTTATAAAATTTGAATTTTGCATGTTTTTTATAATTTTTGAAACTTTAAGAGTATTTTCTATAAATTATAAATTATAGATTATGCAGGAGATATTTGTAACTCCTATATTTTTAATGTACTGTTAGGTTAGAAATTATCAAAATTTTTATAAATTTTACAGTGTTGAGAGTTTTATCTTGCAATTTGTTAAAAGTTTAATGTTTTATAAATTTTTAGAGTTTTATATTGAGGGTATTTTTAACAAGATCAAAAAACTTTTAGGTGCTGGCTAGCATATATTTTTTATATTTCTCTATAAATTAAAATAAATAAAAGATTTGAATTATATCAAACATATCACATTTATCCAATAACATGTTAAGTCTCATTATGTATAGGATAAATCATTTAATTATAAATTCAAAGAAAATAGAAAAATTAGAATAGATTAGGATAACAATATAATATTTAAAAAAATTAAGGGTAATATTTATCATGAAAAGATTTTTCATAACTCGTACTTTTAAAGGGAGTATGATTTATTACAGTGGAAATAACTTTGGAAATTTTTCGGCTAAACACCAGAAAACCCCCTTATTTTTTGGACGATAATTAGATAACCCCCATAACTGTATGAGTATATATCAGACCCCCACCTACAAAGTTAAGGGCTATTAGAAATTTTCAACTTTAACATTTTATTTAAAAAGCCCCTAAATGCATGAACAAAGCTTTTGCTGGCAAAACTATCTCCTAAAGTGATATTACCCACATATGTGAGAATTATGGTTGATGCTAAGGGGGATTTTCTAATAAAATCTTAATAAAATCTAGAGTGAGATTACTAATAACCCCTAAAGTTGTGTGTGTATATATAAATTTGAAAGGTATGGTGAATTATTTGATAATAGTTTAAAGTTAAGGGTGTTTATTATTATTATATATTTTAGTCAAAAATAAATTTCTTTGCAAAAGAGCATGCGCTTTCGTGAAGTTTATCCAAATTTAAATACGGTCCAGCCCCGCACCAGGGTCCCAAACGTCAAAGAATGACTGTTGTCTGGGTCCCCCGCGCGAGCGTCACAACAGCAAAGACCCCCGTGATTCTCTCGTGCCAACTGCCCTCGGGGACGAGACCCCCGTGAAAAGCTCGGGTCCGATCGAGTCAGAGTCTACGGGCTCGAGATCCGTGCTCCCCCGTTGCGTGTTCGGGTCGCATCCCACTTTCCCTCTCCCTTCTCTATTTTTTTTTATTTATTTATTAGCTTTCTCAGCCCGTGGTTTGTTTGGGTCTGCCCCTTTCAAGGTTCCCTCCTCCAAATCAACAACCATTCCCCTCTGCCGTAGCCACCGCGCAAGTCAAAAACTATCAAACGTCCGTACACGTATGCATCTGACATGCACGCGTGCGATGAGGTCAGCGTTATTGCAAGGATGGAGAGCAGGGGGGTTTTGCGTTGATCGCTGTTCATGTGCCAGCTCAGATAGTCTCCGTGTTAACTATATGGTTTGTGTTGAGCCTTGCATGATACTTGCATCATCTGAAAAAAAAAATGTGCACGTCGTCTTCTGTCCAACGGCAGATAATGTACTGAAGTATTAAGAGCATGTTTGGGAAGTTGTGACGTATTTGGCGAATAGGTTATTTTAGATAACGGTTTTTCTATAGAGTGCACATGGCACTCTATAAGAGATGAGAGAGATAGAGAGAAATAAATTATGCACAGAAATTAATGCAAATCAGGAGGACTCATGAGCTATTCATTTCTCTCTATCTCTCTCCTCCCTTATAGAGTGCCCGTGAGCACTCTATAGAAAAACCGTTTAGATAATTACCCACTAAAAATAAGCTCGGGTACTCTGCAATATACCCCTCATTATTTTTGAAAATTCCAACCCCCACTTATCACTCTCCAGCCGTGCGCATTAATTTTTTTCATCAATTTGATAATAATGACAGGCTTATAAAAGCTGCCTATACTATTAAAATGGATTATAATCCCACTAAAACTGCCAAACATTTTAGCTTAGGGGGTGTTTGGTTCAATTTCTAGAAATTATAGGAAATGTTTTCCACCTAAAATATGATTTCCTTGTATTTCTTAAAAAAATTATAGAAAAAGTTTTGAGAAGTCAAAAAGCACCAATTTTCTTGTTTTTTGTACTTTGCTTGTTTGGTTCAAAACAAGAAAATGACTCATAATTTTATAGAAAACAACAAGATTTCCTTTTCTTTTGTTTGGTTACATATGCCAAATTTATAGAAAAGTGTCAACTACAATCTTTATCACTTTAATGGCTATGCACATATACAAAATTTTCACATCTTTAAATCTTATAAAAAACCAACGAGAGTAGTACTAATGCCACAAACATATTACAAACGCTCGATTGAATCATAATAACTCATAACAAGAAAATTATCTCAAGCAATAATTTTTGGTAAATAAAACTAAAATATTGAAGACCAGAAATAACTTGAGGACGGAACATAAAATAGAACTAAAGTAAATATATTTTTGACATATGTTTTCATTGTAATTTTGCAAGCTCCTCAACTCTCCTGCAGAGCTCCTCAACAGGAACATCCATGGTCGTAGACGATGACTCCTAGTCGACAGAGCTGAAGAAGGCATATTGATTTCATTGATCTCCCATCATCTGGCCTAAAGAAAGCCAATATTGATCAAATTTCATATTGAGAAATAAATCAAAATTGAATAATAAGAGCATGGGGCTTTAGTTTACTCACTGCATTCCATCAAAATATGATCTTGTAGTTCCATTTAGAGATCCACTTAGAGAAGTGACACTCAATACTCATTCCTCATTACTGTTGTCATAGCCTTCAAAGGTCTGTATTCAAAATATAGTCAACGTATAGCTCAAACTTAACACTTTGAACTCTGAAAATAAAAAAATGGAAGAAAAATGTGTGAATTTTAGTACCTTATCGGCTAGCATTTGCTGCAACACTCGAATAACTTGAGCTCCAGCCGAGTGCCCAACAAAATGAATTGGATGGTGCTCATCCCATTCAGGATAATTCCCTGAAATCAGGCCTTAACTCAGCATTATTCAAATACCCATTTTAATTAACAAGAAAATTATCTCGAGCAGAAACTCATACATCTACCTTTCACACGGTTAAGATCAAGGAAAGATTCAATAAGATCACCATCCAAGAAATTTCTAGCATCAGATGTCGACCAAAAAAACACAACAATAGAGAGCTAAACAAGCTCGAATTAGCATATTAAATATAAAAAACAGCCCCAAAGCTCGACAACGAGCACAAATATCGATCCAAAAACCCGACAATAGAGAGTTAAACAAGCTCGAATCAGCATATTAAATGGAAAAACAGCCTCATAGCTCGACAACGAGCACAAATTTGTTCTTCAACTTGAAGGTGTTTTGTGACCCACTATGCAAAGAAACATAGCAAGTTGTTCTTCAACTTGAAGGTGTTTTGTGTCCTTTAAAAAACCATGATTTCGCATAACATCCGCAAGTTTGAAAAAGCTTTAGGCCTCATTCTAATATAAGACCTACAACTATCACTATATCCTTCAAATATGCGCTTGAAGTGGGCATTTCTACAATAAATTTTCCTCATCTTGTCCTCTCTTGGAGCATAACAAATGGATTTGCGCCTAGCACGAATTCTCAATAAACAAACTATTATTGTAACCACGGAAGATATAGTCGTATTAGAACACATCCTCTTTATTTGTTCTTCATCTACACCATCCATCTACATTCGTTACAAAGAAAAATTAGTTTAAGATGTTTATGCAACAATAAACAACGACAAAATTTTTTTAGCTCTAAATGTTTCATTCAAGAAGTATTCAAGTCAAATGGAGTATTTGAGGGTCTCGTTTATATTACATTTCAGCTCTAAATGTTTCATTATACTGCAATCTAATCATTTATACATCATTGAAGTATGTACATGAATCACCAGAAAATAGTCAAAAGTAACCTAGATGAAGTATATATCGTTCTCGAATATTTTTAAAAAAGATGGTATTCCCCTGCAACAATGTCATTCAAGAAGGATGCTTATTGCCATCATGATATTTCTTTGATAAATTTGTCAAGTCAACTGTATAAATTTGTCTAGATTCTCTCTTCCTTCTGGGTCCAAAGAAGAAAGGAGGTGTCGGGGCTAAGTGACAGATCTACTGTTTAATGTATGCAATTATAGAACTAGGTCATCTATCATAGATCACATATTAAATGAAAAGCAAGTTACGGTTAGTGTAACTGAAAAGGAATGAATACCAAGTATGGTTGGACTTAACTGGTAACAATAAATGCATATAGATACATGATAGGAGCAAGTAAATGTTCTGTTTCTCCACAATACAGGAGCAAATATTCCAAAAATCTTGTTCATACAGATACATGAATGGGTGTAAATGTTCTGTTTCTCCACAATACAGGAGCAAGTATTCCAAAAATAGACTAAAATACACCTTTTGGTTATTTAATAAATGCAACCTGTAAAATATAGGCAGAAAGCTTACTATATCAATGAAATAAAATATAATACACACATAAAGTATAAATGCAACCTTTTGAACTTTATTAAAATTCTAGTTTACTTGATTGACATACCCTTGGCTCAAATAACATATATCTTCAAATAATATCAATTGTCTCAGCTTGTTCTTCATACTAAAAATTGAGACTAGTTAGTTGGTGACCGACATCAAAATTATTACGCACCTGTGAAATTTATGCTACACGTCACTTAAAATAGAACCACATCTCAGTCCATTTATGTCTTTTCATTTATCTTGTCTACCAGAAAAATCTTGTTCATTTCATAAGTCTACTACAAAACTATGGAGGAAATGTGTTAAATGCATACAGATACATGATAGGAGCAAGTAAATGTTCTGTTTCTCCACAATACAGTAGCAAGTATTCCAAAAATCTTGTTCATACAGATACATGAATGGGTGTAAATGTTCTGTTTCTCCACAATACAGGAGCAAGTATTCCAAAAATAGACTAAAATACACCTTTTGGTTATTTAATAAATGCAACCTGTAAAATATAGGCATAAATTTTACTATATCAATGACACAAAGTATAATACACACATAAAGTATAAATGCAACCTTTTGAACTTTATTAAAATTCTAGTTTACTTGATTGACATACCCTTGGCTCAAATAACATATACCTTCAAATAATATCAATCAGCTTGTTCTTCATACTAAAAAATAAGCAATAGTGAGATAAAAAATTAACATAATGTTCTGTTTCTCTCAGCTTGTTCTTCATACTAAAAAATAAGCAATAGTGAGATAAAAAATTAACATAATGTTCTGTTTCTCCACAATTCTAGGTTCTAGCAATAGTGAGATAATTAAGCATGATAGTGAGGATCCCTATGGAGGAAAGGCACCTAATGATTCCAAAAAATCAAAGTTCATTTATGTTAAAACCGATCCAATAGAATACACCTTTTGGTTATTTAAAAAATGCAACCTGTAAAATAGAGGCAGAAATTTTGAGATTGAGATAAAAAAATAAGCATATTGCACAATAACTCAAGAAATAAAAAGTATGCACCTGTGAAAAAGAATCAGTCTCCTCTCATTATCAAAACATCAAAAAAGGGGCTGTTTTGATCTTATGAATCATGCAGGCAACACGTGGATTTACTGTTGATCTTATGAATCATTTCTAATAACATAAAATTAACAAATTGGTCTTATGAATTCGTTTAACAACAAAATTTTCAACCATAACTATGAAAGTGAAAAGAACAGAAATCAATTAACTATGAATTTGAAAAGAACAGAAACCCTAGCGTCATTTTTCGTTAAAAGATCAACTACAAATAGATCAACACAAAAAAAATAAGCAAAAATAACAGATTATTACCGTGAGAGCCTTGAGATTAGAGAGAACCCTAGAACGGGGGCGATGGAGAAGGAGGAACGAGGGGCGATGGAGGAGGAGGAACGAGACCTAAGTAGTTGGCGCGAAGGACCGAAACCCAGCTGGATTCGGGGCGGGAACGACTGGATTTGGGGCGGGAACGAGATCGGGAATTTCCGCCCTAGAAGAAGTTCGAGAAAGTCACAATTCGTTTAACAACAAAATTTTCAACCATAACTATGAAAGTGAAAAGAACAGAAATCAATTAACTATGAATTTGAAAAGAACAGAAACCCTAGCGTCATTTTTCGTTAAAAGATCAACTACAAATAGATCAACACAAAAAAAGCAAAAATAACAGATTATTACCGTGAGAGCCTTGAGATTAGAGAGAACCCTAGAACTGGGGCGATGGAGGAGGAGGAACGAGGGGCGATGGAGGAGGAGGAACGAGACCTAAGTAGTTGGCGCGAAGGACCGAAACCCAGCTGGATTCGGGGCGGGAACGACTGGATTTGGGGCGGGAACGAGATCGGGAATTTCCGCCCTAGAAGAAGTTCGAGAAAGTCACACGGCTGAGAGAATTGGTTACGGGAAGGGTTTTGTTGATTTAATAAGGAATGTGTCAGATTTCTTTTGATTTCCTCTCAATTTGAGAGGAAATTGCATTTGCAAAATTTGGTAGTTTTTAATTTTTTGTAGAAAATATTTCTTTAAACTTTTTGTTAAACCAAACACAATTTAAAGAAATCTGTAGAAATCTTTTAATTACAAAATTACCAAAAATAGATATTTTGAGAAAAGTTTTCTAGAAAAGTGTGTAACCAAACACCCCCTTATAATCCATTGTAGATTAATTATGAGTCAAGTGGATTAAAATCCAAACGTGCCAAACATGCTCTTAATCAATAATTAAATGTGTTAGATTTCTTACAAGCAGAGACATTTAATTAAAAAGACTAATATTATGTATGTAATTAGTAATTAAATTATATAAATTGCAGAAATGACAATTTACAGAGACTGACATGGGAAAAAAGTTCATACAAAGTGAGAATATCGGTGCGACACTTTTGTTATGAGAATGTTGGCAGGATTTCTATCTTTCTGAAGAGAACTTTTGGATTCGATTCGAGCTAACATTGGACAACCTGCAGACGGTTTGGACCATTAATTAAAAAAAAATCTCACGATTTTCTTTTTATTCTCCCTCTTTTCCCATCTAAAAATCACCGGTTGAAAGAATTAATATCAAAGGAAATAAAAGGAGATCACCAGACTACATGTTTCTTGCAACTTTTTTTTCTCTTTAGTTTCGCTACCTCGATCACTAATATTGTTTCACCTTGAGTTACTTGAATCCTTACCAAATTAAGCTTGCTTTAATAATTATACCACAAAAGAGAAGGTACGTAATAATTAAACGTAAAACAAAGGAACAAGATTTCAAGATCCGTGCATGCTTTATCTACGTGAATCATCAGCACCCTTTTCTTCGTTAATTTTCTGTCATGTATGTGAATTTAGCTACAAATTAAGAGAAGCCCTTTTAAGTATATATACATAATTTACCTTAAAATAAAAAAATATAAAAATCAGTATACCTAGCTATGACAAAATTGAATTATGTAAAGAAAGAGGGAAAATGATAGGGGCACACCCTCAACCACACACAATCTCTCATTTACTACAGTACACCGGGCCTCATATGAAATTTTAAAATTTAAAATCACACGTGGGACACGGTGCACTGTAGCAAATAAGAGAGAGAGTATGGTTAGGGTTGTGCTCCTATGGTTAGGATTGTGCTCCTAGTGCCACCCAAGAAAGAGACATGGATATGCATGAGAGAGAGAGAGAGAGAGAGGGGTCTCTAATATTGCTAATATATCGAAGAAGAGTAAAATCACCTGCAAGCTGCATGCACACGTGTGGCAAGTGATCCTGAGGAAAAAGTATAGAAAGAAGAGGTGAGGAGCCCATGGTGGAGAAGGGGAGCACGTGCAGCGTAGGAGAAGCAATAGTCCCTTTTGCACGTGCCCTGCTTCTCCAACAGGGAACTGCTCATCAAGGAAATGAACTGCCAAGCACATCTCTGTTGCTCTTGTTGTTGTTTGAAAAAGAGGGTCTTCAGCTCCTTATATAAGCACACATGAAGAGAGCCCAGTGAGAGACTTCAAGTAATCAAGTGTGGGTGAATTAAATGGAGATGGAGTCTTGTAGTGGGTTTGCTTACAGTGAGAGACTTCAAGTAATCAAGTAGTGGATGGAGAGATGGAGATGGAGTCTTGTAGTGGGTTTGCTTACAGTGAGAGACTTCAAGTAATCAAGTAGTGGATGGAGAGAGAGAGAGAGAGAGGGGTTCTCACCCCTGCCTCCCCTTTGAATACAACTCTTGACTGCCTCAATCCCCACCTTTGTCGGCCTCCATCATACATATGGTAACCCTGTTCCCTATCAAAATCAAATAAAATAAAATAAGATGAAATAACATAATGAGGTACTGATAATCAAAAGGATAAATGATGGTTAGATATCTTATATATATAGTTTCATTCAATTAGCATTTATATGGCCTCAGTTATTTTCATAGCATTTATATTCTCTGAATCGACATTTATAATTAAAGCATTAATACACTTTGTTATGTAAATGTGAACATTTTCATCTGAAAGTCCCCACATAACATTCATATGCTTATTTTAAAAAATTTCACTATTATGTTTGTTAAAATTATTCTTAAACCTTTCTAATTTATAATCTTAAAATAGAATTAGCAATTATTTAATTTAGAATTTGTGAAGGATTGACACTAGATTTAACAAATATTAATAGTTAAAATTAAGATACCAACGTTACATAGGATCTTTTGGGTGAAAACTTTCGCATTTGAAAAATAGAGTACTAGCATGTCAATTTTAAACAACTTAAGAGTATGTTGATGGGAACGGGGTCCATCCCCATGATTAATTAATATGGATTTAATCCATAAAGATTTTGTGGTTGACTACATGTATGCATTGATAGATTGTCTTTCCTCATACATTAGGAAAAGGAATGACTAGTCTTTGGACTTCCTCAGCAATGAATATAGTGTACCTGTAGGTAGGCCTGTCCATCCGGGCCGGCCCGGCTCGGAAATCCGGGCCCGGGCCGAGCAAAACCGGAGCCCGGACCCGGGTACCCCGGGCCGGCCCGGGTTTTTTCTTTTTTTTAAATTTTTTTTTTTCAAATTTTTAAATTTTATTTAAGTTTTAAATTATAAAAAAAGACAAAAAAATAATAAAAAAATAATACTTTTATTAATCACTTAAAATGACATAAATTATAAATAAAAAATTATAAAAATAAATTCTTTATTAATAATTAATAAATCATTTACAAATTACAAGTGTAAATTTATTTTGGAATTAATCGCATCACAATAGATAAGTACATCTAATAGTTTGGAACGTGACTCGGCCGGCAATGTAACCCTACGGTCACATTCACGCCTCTAGATCATCCTGTATATCAATATAAAACCAAAACTACACCATAGAGCATGTAATCAGGATAAAAGGAAACTGCTAGATAAAGAAATATCTAAAAAATTTCAAAGATCTGTGACGAGTCCACAACCATCCAAAATGGAAGAAAGAAAACATTCATAGTCTGAAGTTCTACAAGAGATTACATGGAAGTCTCAATCAAAATAACTACCTAAAACAAGTGAAATGGAGAACTGAATGAAATGAATGGTGATCACTGCCGCTGAGCCTGCTCCTCGAAATACTCAGAATCCTGCGAAGAAAGAACAGTTCCCGAGTCTGGGGCATGCAAACCCCAGGGGAGTCAGAAAA